AAGACTATATTGCTTATTTTTGAAAATTGTTTAAAAGCATGTTAAAATCTTTAAGTAAAAATTTTACTTAATAAAATGATAATAAAGATTTTTATTAATATTATTATTAAAAATGCATATACTTAAAAGGGTGTGTAAACTTATGGACACAATTGTTCAAACACGTGTAAATGTGTGTGTGTTCACATCCAGACCGCCCGAGCCTTTGATGCTGCAGGTGAGCCGGCCTCAGAATCAGTCGCCTCCTTTGCATAAGCACTAATGACAGCAGCCAGCGCATGTAAATGAAGACGCTTCCCTCTGATTGAGAGAAAGCAATGTGGCTGAGTAGCCACACACTAATCATCCCAGCGGGGAGCTCCATCTGATTCAGTCCCATCATTCCGCATGTGTTCAACATCGGCCCATTTAAATGTCAGGCCTTGATGGGCCACCCCAACTGCAGACAGGGGAGGGGTGGGAGACGGGATGTTTGGGAAAGTGGGGTGCGGTTGTGATCTGATGAGACGAAATTACCTTTTAATTAGTCGATTCTTTAGACTTTCATAATTGTTTTGGTCTTACAACAAATGTGAGGCCTGTAATTTTGAAAGCCGTTTTCAGGATGAAAGCCCAGGCAGTATGAGAGAGAGTTTGAGAGTACAGAAAGGAGGGTTGAAAATTATAGCTACGATACAGTGTTCGAACACTCATTGAGTGTTTACTTGATGTGATTTAACTGACTGCTTGCTAGTTTGAATCAAACTTTACTTTATTGTAAAGTGAGTTTAGTTTCTATGACAGAGACCTTTGACCTCAGCTATGTTTGTCATCTCATGTTGGCTTTTTTGGGTGTCCACTTTACTTTCAGCTTTCTGGATTATTGATTCTCTTTTGAATGAAATATTAACATACCTCATCTGTGTCTGCCTTGCTGTGATCTATCCCTCTAGTGTGAGTCGTTCCTTTTTTTTTTGGTTTGTTTTGAAACGTAGAACAATATTGATATAAAGAAAGTGTTAGAGACTGTGAGTTTATGTGTATGTTTCTATGGCACTAGAATGTAAAGGCACTTTCAGATTGACTGTAACTCTCAGGACACACAGTCACACATTAACACTCATATTTGCCAAAAGACAAGTGACATTTATATTTTAATGTTCTGATTGTGTGTATGTGTGTAACTAAATTCTTTAATAATTGTCACGATTTTTTTTGTATATGAAAATAAAAATAAATCTAAAAATTTAAAAATATATTTGCATATGTATATATAAAGTGAATATATATATACATAGACATATATACACACACACACACACACACATATATATATATATATATATATACACACACATACATACTATAATTATGTGGATGTAAATATGAAAATAAAATGCATATTTATATATAAACTGAATAAATGAAAGAAATAAAAAAAAGTGTAGATCATGGAGATCTGGTTCCCCCTAGTGGTCAGAATAAATACAACAAAATGCATGTTTCTGTACTTTTTATCACATGCTTTGTACAGTAGACAGCTGAAACCTATTATGTAAATGTCCTATGTCATAAGTTTAAAGAAAAATGTGGCTATTTGATAAGAATGGCTTTCCTATATTTATTGTTGTTGTTGTTGTTATGGAAATTTGTGTGTGTGTTGTTCAGGTATTCCCTATGTAATGAAGACAAAATGTCCCCACAAAGATGGCAATATCCAAAATCCTTGTTCTTGCAGGGACATTTTTGGTCCCCATGAGGAAACAAGCTTGTAAATCATACAGAATGAAGTTTTTGAAAATCTAAAATGCGGAATGTCCCCATAAAAGATGTAAACCCAATGTGTGTGTGTGTGTGTGTGTGTGTGTGTGTGTGTGTGTGTTCTATACTTCATTTTTAAGGCACTACCTTTGTCACTTGCAGGATTTGGCCGCTATGACTTCCATGGTCAACAGGGGGTGTCAGAATCCTTCAAATCAGCAGTTATGCTTCATATCATTCAGCCATGTAAGCACAAAACTCGTCAGTGTTCTAATACTAATCTATTATTAATTAATAATGAACTAGATCAGGTAATGAAGTACTGTAGTAATGATGTTGTTCTGAAATAACTGGATGCATGCACTTTTTTAAAAATGTTTTTGCATGTATTGGATTAGCATTTTCCCAGAGGATGCATAAATAAATGAAATGTTCTTTGTGTTTTTTTGATATTGTACACATGAAGATGTATAGCCTACACGATGAAACCCAAGGGTGTTCAAGATGCTCAAGATGGAATTCATTCTGCATCCACCAGCGCTAGACTAATGTGCCGACTTCTGAACCACTAGAAAAAGAGACATGCTCAAAGGCTTTCCTGTCAACACAAGTAAAGAGGGAATGTCTTGAAGGAGTTATATTCATCCCAACTCCAGGTACGTTGAATATGAACGGTGAATATAAGCAGAATGATAACATTACTCCACTCAAATGGAAACCACACCATAATAAACATAAAGGATATCTTATACAATTAATTAAACGTACAATCAGTAAAATTAAGTTATAATTAAACCTGCAGAGAAAATATATTTTATATATTTAATATATTTTTGAAACTAAATGCAATTAGCAACTATGACCCAAAACTTCAAAAATGATAAATGACATTAAATGGTGAATTATAGAAAAATTACTTACCCCTTTGTATTGTATAATCATATAATCATAGCAGTTTCTAACAAGCTTTCTTTGACCACAAGATGGAGCCAAAACCCTCAAGACTGGGCTTTGTCTATTAAATTATATGGTGTATGTTTAAATATATTTAAAGCTCTATGCATAATGTTTAGCATTGTTAGCAGTTCAACAACAATATTTTTAGGAATTGGATAAGGCTGTTTATTATCAATAGAAATTAACCATCATTAATGATTTTAGATATTTAAACTGAGCAAAAGCAGGTTGTGAGTTGTTTTATGCATAGGTTAACAATATGCACAAAATGCCTTAGTGATTATTTTTAATGATTGGAAGGTAGAATAAAAGCATGAGCTCAGATTCTCTACTTAAAAGTTTATTTAATTTAGGCATATCAAAGCTGTATTTTCAAATACCATACAAAGGTTGTTCTCTATATGTACCTAATTAAGGTATATACATCTATAAAGCATATTATAATGAATTGAGCAGCAATAATTGGTTTCTCAGATTAGGGATGGAAGGGATTAGGATTTGTTTCAAGATCAAGATCAGGTTAAGCATAGGATTAAGATTGTTATTAGGATTAAGAAAGGACTGGAAAGAATAGGGAATGTCCTGTAACACAAGGTGACACAAATGACTGGTGTTACACATGGAACAAGATAGACATTAAAGGGACAGTTCACCCAAAAATGAAAATTCTGTCATTAATTATTCACCCTCGTGTTGTTCCAAACCCGTAAGACCTTCATTCATCTTCGGAACACAAATTAAGATATTTCTGATGAAATCCAATAGCTTTCTGACCCTGCATAGACAGCAATGCAACTACCACATTCAAGGCCCAGAAATGTAGTTAGGACATCGTTAAAATAGTCCATGTGACATCAGTGGTTCAACAATTTTATGAAGCTACGAGACTTTTTGTGCACAAAGAAAACAAAAATAATGACCGGACCTTAACGACAAGGACAAAGAGGAACGATATCATTGGAAGCAGGATATTTTTTTCCAGCTGATGAACATGAAAAACATTTACAGCCAATCAGAATCCACTTTAAAGAGACCGAGCATTTAAAGCAGCAGACGATAAAACTGCAGCGTGGGCTTATAATTAACAGAACATTATCGTCCGTTGATGTGGATGCTAATATAGTTATAGCTATCTTTATTGGCCTAGTTATCGTTTTTGGTGTGAAGGACCTGGTACCGGATAAGCATTGTTATAGACAATAGTGAATATTAGGAAATATCCTAGGTGCGGTGATTTACCAATCAGATTTGAGTATTTCAAAGCGATGTATATCAAGTACAAATGATATACCTCCTGAAATGAAACCATTATATATGTATTAGAATGTGTGTCTCTTTCTATCTATTTATGGAAAAATCTATCCCTAATGGGAATGTTCTTCAATTTTACTGTATGGGTTCCACAAAAGGGAGCAGGTCATGAGTGTATAATAGAAGGGACAGGAAACAGCGCTCTCCCAAAATTCCAGGACACTTTCAAGATATGAACGTTTTTGCTTGGGGGAAGGGTATGTGAAACCAAGCGTCGCGTCTGATCTCATGTATTAAACCTGACCTTGAGAGTCTGATGTTACGCTGATGAAAAAGCGACCCGTTCTGCATCTTCTTTTTAGCATTTAGCGTCAGTTGACACTGTGAAGCATCGACTGATTGAACATCTTTGCCGCTGCTATCAGCGGGAGCACATGGGGTCAGAGTTAGCATCAGCCTGTGACATCCATCAGACGAGCACGGCAAGGCTGCTCTGACAAATTTCCACGATCAACAGCATCTGACAGGACAACACGAGGTTATGGCCATCTCTGTCAGCGCTATCTATTCTTTTTCAAGTCTGACAGATGTGGGGTAATTAATGGACTTCATTAATCAATCAAAGCCGTTGCTAAACTACAGATAAAATGTATCGTTATGTACTGTGTGGGAAAGAAATAAAGCTTTTAAAGGGATCGTTCACCCAAAAATGAAACATTTGTCATTTACTCAACCTAACCAATATGACTTCTTTTGTGAAGCAAAAAAAAAAAAAAAAAAGATATTTCTAAAAGTTGTACAAGTTGCTCTTTTCCATACAATGAAAGTGAATTGTAAGCACACACAGTAAAGCAATATTTCAGTATATTGGCTTTAAGACTTTTTTATTATGCATTTGATTTGATATTTGACAGTGCCTGGTCACCATTCACTTTAATTGTGTGGGGAAAAAACAGCTCAATATATTCTTCTAAACTTCTTTTGTGTGCCACAGAAGAAACTAAGTCAGGTTTGGAGAGACTTAAGGGTGTATAAATGTTGATAATATTTCTTTTGACTGACTTGCAAGACAAAAAGATAAATGACAGACATCAGATAAAAATCTTGCAGTTTTATTTGCATATAAACTTGGCTAAATGTCACAATGGATAAAAAAGTCACAAAACATATAAAGAAAGCATTCACAATAGCAGAAAATACAGAAAACTTTTTTGTGCTCACAAGATTGCAGATCCACAGTGAAATATACAATGCACATTATTACAACAACTAAAAATGGAGATGAGAAATGAAATGGCTTAGTGTTGTAATGTCATTTCCAGTTTTGAAACCAATAGAATAAGAAGCTATTGCAAATCTGGGATAAACAATTGTGTTTGAATCTTTACAGAGAGATACCAGATTTATCTCTGTATATCTCCTGAGGCAGACCCAATTATATTGAAAGTTCTCGTCCACTTTTAATATGTGCTAAATGCAAAATCAGACCAGGTACAGTATCTTTATGATCTGGAGAATTTGCACATTCAGCCTTTTCTAAACTGTAATTGTAGGACAAAAGCAGCACAGCAATAATGCGAAATTCAATTCACAACACACAATCGCTTCCATCTTTTGATAAACTGTGCCACTCTATTTTATGTTGAAAGGAAGAATGCTTGTCTTATGGTGTTTAATGGCCTGGTAGATAAAGATGTGTCTTCTTGATGAGAAAAGAGCGAAGTCTGATTGGAGTAATAAATATCAGACCCATTGAACCCTTTGACGGGGTGAAGTACGCACTTACTCATTTAAATCCAAAATTGAATACACCACACAAAGAGTTCATAACTTTAAATAAGTTTATATTAAATTTACAAAGCACAATTAATATTAAATAAGACATGGTCAAGTATTGCTGACGCTTTTGGGAGTACCTTTATAATGCACTTTTTAAGATCCTGACCAATAAAAAAGAAAAAACAGAAGGCAACTGATGCAAACAAATTACAAATATGAATTCACAACTTGTTCTTTACCTACAATAGTCATTCAAATGGTGTCGGCTTCAATCCGACTTTAAAAAAAAATATTACATTTCCATGCATTTTTAAATACAAGCAGTACAAAAAGACTATTAATTTTAAGTAAGGAAAAGTTATGTAGAAAAAGGGGTGGGGTTTAATGAGTCTCAGGAGTTTCCTGGGTTGGGGAGATCAAATATGATTGGTGGATTGGTAGGCTGGAAGCTGACTGTACATGTGGAGGAGTTGATAAATGTTGTATAGCCATCTGTCATTATACCATACCCTGAGAATGAAAAAGAAAACATTTTTATACATTTATTTTATAGACAATAAAATGCTTTAATATTTATACTTTATCCGCATATATATTATTTGAAATATATTACAATTTGTAATATTTTTATTATTACTTTAATATTTTGAACATTTTATATACATTATATATATATAAAATGTTATATAAGTGTGCAAAGCCCTTACCTTCATGGATTCCGCCATATGCGTGGAGTTTGGGTCGGACCCTCTTTTGTACGGTGTTGAGTAGTTCCACACAGCCAACTCTCTGAAGTTCTTTTGGGACCCAATCTCTGAACCCTGGACAAAGTCCAACATCACATCCTTAGTGGCGTATCACCACATTTATGATGACTTTAAAATACAACAGTCCATCTGCAGACACAAACTGATGTATGCATGCTCTACATCTACAGTTAAATCCACATTTCAGTGCTTACCCAGAGGAGGCCCATGTGTCATAAGAATATCTACATCTTCAGGGATCTGGTTCCACTTATCGAGGAGAGACTGGCCACGAGGTAAGTTAAAGCCCCATCCATTAAACCACGGGGTCCTGTGGGAGCAGACAGACGCATTTTACACACTTCATAAATGTCGAAATCATCATACACATACCTGCATGCTGTTCTCACACATACGCAAAAGTTGACAGTATTATCAAAAACGATTTTCAAAGTAGACTAGTTGGTAAGGTGGATTAAAAAAAAAGTCTAAAAATGCCTCAGAGTATTGCAGTATCAGATTTGAGGCCATGCGCAACTCAAGCTATTCGTTTCAGTCTCCATCAGGGTGTCCGGTGGTTCACAGAGGTCATCTGCAGAGGAGGCAGATTGATCAAACTGTCAGCACCAATGAGCAGAAGCATGTTAATAAGAGTTTTATTTCCCCTCTGGGACGGGCCTGCTGACAGCCTGCAGTAGCCCGGGCCAGACCTTTATTTACCACTCTCAGACCCCGTCTGATAAGGGCCAAGTGTCTGGCCCCAGCTAGACAAGGCTGCGCAAGGCCAGGGCTAAATGTAGGCCTTGGTAGAGAGGGCAGGAACTGACCCCATGCTGATAAGCAGAGCTTGGTGATGGATGGAGGCAGTGCAGACAAATGAGAGTTGGAAGCACTGCGGAGAGCAATGTCTGCAACTGCTCAACAGCACTTCAGAAGCTGCACTACGGTGCAGGATTTCAACACAGTTTGAAACAAATGGTAAAACGGAGGTTGACTATATGTTAATGTGCTTAATTAATGTGACATGACAACTGTTTCTGAATGGCCCATTTTTTCTAACTTAGGATTGTTCTTAAAAAAAAATATGTCATTCACTAGTAATTGCATGGATTTTTTTTGTATTTGTACACACGGGAGAACATCTCATTCACAACACATGTGTATGCACATCAGTTTGTTCTAAAGTTAATGAATTTGGAGTACTCTGAATGAGCAACCATGTGCCCAAGATTGGGAAATAGAAATTTCATCTTAACACTTATAATTGTCTGCTTTTTTGTGCACGTGATTTCAATTTTTCCGAAATTTTTTCATACATTTAGAATATATTCAAGTATCAAAGTTTTTGGTGAATAATAATTGGTTCGTAAAGACATTCATACACCGATTTCACACAAAAATGTGTGAGTATGCATGCTTACAACTGCTTAAATTAAAGGGACAGTTCATCCAAAAATAGAAATAACACACCCTCATGTCGTTCCAAAACACAAGACCTTTGTTCATCTTCAGAACATTTATATTTTTATTTTTATTTTATTTTATAACGCGGATATTTTTGATGAAATCCTTTTTTTTCTGACCCTGCATAGACAGCAGTGCAACTACCATGTTCAAGAAATTGTTGAATAAAGTCATTATTTTTGTTTTCTTTGCACACAAACCACTGATGTCACATGGACTATTTTAACAATATCCTTACTACCTTTCTGGGCCTTGAATGTGTCAGTTGCATTGCTGTCTATGCAGGGTCTGCAAGGTTTTATGGGTTTAGTAATTAATGACAGAATCTTAATTTTTGGGTGAACTAACCCTTTAAGACTAGTCTTAAAACCACAAAGGTAAAATCTGCCAATTTTATAATTATGAAAATTTTAAGCAGCATTCAGCACATATGAAAACATTCTTACATAGGACATGTTCAACTCCCATCAAGCCAGTTGCAACAAAAACAGTGTGCCTATTATGATTATTACAGTAATCTGCAAGCAGCGCAAAAAGGCAGCATTTTGAACAAGAACTTGACATACAAACTAATTCTAATTTATCTTAAGAAATTTCATCACTACTTTTATAAGATTTTTGTGAATCCTCTTGTGATATGACCTGATTGATGAATCTGATTAATATAAAAAAGCTTAAAATAAAAGAAGCATTAGAAAGGATGAGATTACAAATACTAAATAGCTTAGTTGTAGCAGCTAATTGCATTAATGAGTCTTAAAGAGCTTGATTCTACCGTACGCACAGACATACATATATGTATGAGCTCACATGCCCAGCTGTCCGGAGGTCATTTTACAACGAGCACTTGACAGAGTCAGAGCCTCTGAGAAGCAGAAGGTTAAGACTAAAGGGGGAAAGGGTTTTCATAACATGTTCTCTGAGACCTGAGGCATGGATCTTCTTTTTCATTCACTGAATTATGTTGAAATAGACGAGGGACTAGAGCCCAGTCATTTGTACCACCTAAGAATAACAATAGAAAGACAGCCCTGGAGCGGAGTATTGAAAACCAATTACAGAGAGAATGAAAAAGGTTTTAGAGGAAAAAATGGAAAAGCATGGAGACTGTCGCTTTAAAATAACTGCCAATTAAACTTAGAGACCCAGTTAAACCTTGCAAAAGAACAAGGTCTGTCAAATAAAACAGCTGTTCTCTAAATACGTTTCCTAACCAGTCGTGACAAGGCTCCAACTTCTACTCAAAAAAATTAAATAAAAATAAACCCCACACACACACACAAATCGCTGAATTACACTTATCAATAATCAAAAACCAAACAATCAAAAGAAACTTAGAAAGCAAAAATGCTACAAGATGCTGCACAATAACTGCCAATTAAACAACTTTTAATGTTTAATAAACAATTATGTAGAGCAGACCATTTTGGACCAATGAGATTCATTGTGGGCAGGGTTACACAGTAATGCTATTGAAATAGGAACCAAGCTATTAACAAAATGTTTGCCAGACAAAAACTGTAAGCTACATGAAAAACACACCCTTTATTGTTTTATCATTTTATTGCATCCAATGTTATTTTAGTATTATTTATATACTTTTTTTTATTAGCTTTTATATTTTCAGTTTTCAATTTATTTTAATTTAAGTAATTTCGTTACATGCTTTTGTCATTTTTTATTTGTTTTTGTTTTATTAATATTTCTAAAGCTAGAATGTACTTTTTCTATTATTTTTACAGCTTTAATTTATTTTATTTGTTTTAGTTTTAGTAATTTTAGTACTTCAACTGATTTTAATTTGTCAATTTCCAAAGCAGCACGTTTTTAGCCAATTTCTCTGTTTATCGTCTTATTTTATTTTAGCTTTGTTTTAATTACTCAAAAATTAATAACAGTTTTAGCTTACAATAACAACACTGATTAAATTTCCTGGTTAGGACATGGTCTAGGACTAATCCTGGATTTGCATGGTTAACATTGATTATAACCAGATAATAGTTCTTTTGTGTTTAAGACAAAGATTCAAGCAAATATTCAAATACAAGCTGTCACTTTACTGCCATCCTGCTTCATTAACCAAACTAAAGAGCAGTCGTTTTTGGATTTTAATGTCCATCATCACAGGCTGGTCTCATAGCTGGTCTACTGTTTGTCTATCCATTAGCACTTCTTCATAGATTTGAGAGAATAGAGTTGATAGTGGATGAAATATAGCCTGAACACAGGAAATGGCTGCTGAGGTCTTAGTGTATGTGTGTGTATACTGGGTAGCCGGGCTTGTCCGTGGATGATTGATGGGAAGGCAAATAAAGGTGAGTGGTTGTTTTCAAACACTGTGCACCAGCCTGGTACTCTTGGGTACAATCTCTCAAACCCTGTTGGTTTTCCTGCAAACATACTCAGGCCCGTCTGCTTTAACTCGCACATAAACGTCAGCGCCCGAGTCAGGCTTTCATCCGTACATCAAGCTAGTCGACAATGAGATGTCATTACTTCCCAACATGCACATAAAAACGGGGATCACAGACAGAAAACAAATAAAGGCATGCAACATAAAGGAAATATATTATTACATGGCGCACTGGAATACTTGATTCTGATTGGTCAATCTAAATTTTAATTTATACATTTGTCCCTAGTAACTGATTTCAAACACTGTGCCAGGTTCATGCCTCTCATATCACTTTACGGTCTCTTTGTTCTCAATATAAATATCTCAATATCAGTATTTAACGTCCATTTATTATACAGCTGAGTTATAAGTGAGACAAAGTACAGCTGGTAATTATTGCAAAATAAACCTCTGGTATTACTCTTTATGATAAATTTAAAGATCACCAATAATTAAATGAATAATTATTTTACTAAATTTTGATGTAAAATTAACCCATAACATTTTTCAGTGACTTTTAAATATAATTAACATAATTAAACATTATTATAATTAATAAAGTTAATATAATCATTATATTAAAAAAAGAAATAAAGTTTAACCATGCAAGTTTAAAAAGAGAGCGAGAGAGAGAGAAAACGGAGTGAGAGAGAAAAGAAAGCTTTCACTGTCAGAAACTCTGTTCAGTACAGAGACACAAGTGTATATTTGTGTCTGCGTGTGTGTTTGTTTTGGCTGCCTCAGCACTTTGTTTTGATGAACTCTCGGTGACCTGGACACATACCCACACAGTGGCATACAGGAGCAGCCGGCTGAGCCTCAGTAACACACAAACACACACTCCCAGTGCTTACTTTGGAATCAGAGTGTTACTCTAATGCACAGGCCTGCCAGTCCTTCAAGCACCTCACATGCAAAAAGGATTACTGAAATATTTATCTGCCCCTGACAGCAGGACGGCAAAAGAGAGGGGGATCAGGGAAAGATGTGTGATTGTGAAAGTGATGTTGGAGAAGGCTATCAACGGTCAGGAGAGAAAAAGCAGAGCTGGACATGGGACAAAAAGAGAAATGAGAGTAGAGAGGAAATGAGACGTTGTTGGGATTTCCAGTCTAGTGTGATTTTGTGAAGGTACCATGCAGAGAACTTCCCAGAGCAAGTCTGACAACAAATCTTTTAAATATTCCTTATAATATGGTGCAAATATCAGACATTTTTCTATGTAAATGAATCCAAAAACAACAACCTTTTCTGCCCCTAAATCATCAAAGTCCGAAAATACATTACGTCTAAGTTTGGGGTTTTTGAAATAAGTATTTTATGCTCACCAAGGATGCATTTATTTGATCAAAAATACAGTATAAACAGCAATACTGTGAAATATTATTACAGTTTAAAATAACTGTTCTCTACTATATTTTAAAATATAATTTATTTTTGTGATGGAAAAGCTGATTTTTCAGCAGCTAATT